AAGAAATACAGAACGTAAAAGCCAAAGTGAGCTATTTTAGTTAACCACATTTAAAATATTTTTAAAATTAGAGTTCTCATGATAATATAAGATTTTGACTTTGACAATTAAACTTTTAAGGGACAACCATTTTTGAATAAAATTGAGAGAATTTAGGTAGAAGCTAACATATTGGATTTATGTGGTGAAGTTTTGGTGTCAGGGTGTCAGTGGGGTTGGCTTCTGTGAGCAGAGCCCAGCAGCTGCCCCATGTCAGATCAGAGCCAGCTCCGGACAGCTCCAAAAGGGACCTGCTGCTGGCCAGAGCTGAGCCATGAGTGATGCTGGGTGGGCCTCTGGGAGAGCAATTGAAGAGATGGGAAATCTGCTGTGCTCCAGCAGCTGGGAGGGAGGGGAGAGAGCTGAGAGAGCAGCAACCCTGCAGCCCCCAAGGTGAATGCAGCTGGAGGGCAGGAGGTGCTCCAGGCATGCAGCACAAGTTCCCTTGCAGCCCATGAAGAGGCCCCTGGTGGAGCAGGCTGTCCCCCTACAGCCTGTGGAAGACAATGCCGGAGCAGATCTCCACAATACAGCCCATGGAGGACACCATGCCACAGCAGGTGGATGTGCCCTGAAGGAAGTTGCCACGTGCAGAGAGGAGACCATGCTGGAGCAGGGTGCCTGGCAGGGCCTGTGGGGAACCCATAATTGGAATAGTTTGTGAAGAAATGTAGCCCGTGGGAAGCACCCATGTGGGAGCAGTTGGTGAAAAACTGTATCCTGTATGAGGGGGCAGGAGAACAGTGTGAGGAGGAAGGAACAGCCAAAATTAAGTGTTATGAACTGACCACATCCCGTTGGGTGGGGGAGAAGAGATAGAAGAATCAGGAGTGAAAGAGTTCAATAGAGCCTGGGAAGAAGAGGTGGGTGGGGAGAAGGTGGTTTTGGTGTTGTCTTTGTTTCTCACCTTCCTACTCTATTTTTTATTGGCAATAAATAAAATTAATCTTCCCCAAGTTGAGTCTGTGATGGTAATTGGTAAGTAATCTCCCTGTCTTTCTCTTGACCCACAACATTTTTCATCATATTTTCTCCCCATTCCTCTTGAGGACAAGGAGTGAGAGACCAGCTGGGTTGGCTTCTGGTAGCCACCTAAGGACAAGGCACCAACTAGAGAGCTTTCAGGCTGAAAGAAAGGGGAATTCCACACCACAATTCAGTCACTACCAAAAGTCTGCCTGCCTACACTCTATCCAGGCACCAAAGTCTATGTCTATATTAAGGAATAAAGTAGATGTGGAAGGTGAAATAATGGGTGCTAAGGCTTGGGCATTCATTTGGGAAGAGGATACTCCAGACCAATTCAGGTTTGGTCCAGTGGACTGAGCATCTGCCAGCAAGGTAATATATTTTTTGGCTCAGTACCATCCCAAAGGGACCAAATTTGCTCACATCCATCTGCTCCCAGTGTGAACGAACACAAGTGTAAACAATGGAGATGATCAGAGGACTGGTTTTGAAGCACAGGTCTTGTCTGAAGTGAAACACTACCAGGGTGAAGCACACCCATCATTCCTGGCCCTTCAAAATCAAGTTAACGTCACTACATTTTCTCCAGAAACAATTGCAATTGCCAGGTGATTATCACTGGACACAGGTCAGGAACAAAAGGCTGCTGTGTATTTTAATCCTTTATGTTTCTTTACTTTAATGTGTAACAAAGAAAGATTAAACATTAAAGGAAGACTCTCCTTAGTGTTGGTTCTGTGTCCCAGAACTTTATTGTAGCCTCATAGTTTGCATTTTTACATAATACAAAATTACATTTTTATGGAAGGTGGAAACTAGCTTAGTTAACCTGCCTGGTGAATAGAAAATAATGAAGCATTTTGCTACAAATCAACAGCTATAGTTAGAATTAATTTATTAAAAGCTACAGTTAGAATTAGTTTATCATAGTGAGAAGTCTGAACATGACCTGCCCCAGCCTGACTTTTCTCTGGGTTGCTCTGGAGGTAGTTGTCATTTACTGCTCTAAATAGGGCAGAAGGAATTTGACTCCACCACACTAACAGATCAGTGACCATACCTTGTCAAGAAGACCAAAAAAACAGTCCACTATACAATTCCCACACAGATGTTTTTTCTGTCATTTGCAATTAGTTTAAATTAATCATAGGTGTACAGTGAAGTCACAGTTGTTGTGCCAGAGAGGTGTTCTCTATCGAGCTCACAACAGAAGGATGTTAGCCTGTGTGCGCTGCTGTAGGTATTATACTGAGGATTGCAATGGCTCCCAAAACTCTGAGAAAAAAAAGTACTCACTTAATGATGTGAATGTTCCTGCTAAGAAAGGACTTTTTTTTCCTGTGGCTAATATGCACAATAGTGCCAGATCTTAAATGAATGGATACATCATGCACTTACTGACACCAGTGTTTTTGGAGTTATTAGAATCTTCATTACACAACATCACTCATTGCCTTATTGCGGTTCCTTGAGAAAAAAATGAAATCTTCATATTGTTCAGCTTTCATTCAGGATGTGTGACTGCAACCACTGAGGTCACTTACATCAGTTACAAGTGAGTAGTGTTAAATTCTGGGAAACTCTGCCCTTGTTTGCCATACCTGTTCCAAAGTTTCAGAAAAGCCCAGCCTATGTCTGCGAAAATGAAAGCTGTGACAGATCATGAGACAGCTGTCTACATCGCTGCCACTACCATCTTTTGAACAATACCGAAGAAAATAAAATTCAGCTTTCATTTTACTATTATTACTGTGGGATGGGAGAAGATTCAGACTAGGGTTAGCAGTTATTTGCCAGATTAATCTCTCGGGCAGCTAAACCTGCTCTTGAATGTATGACCAAGAGTAGTTTTGAATCCAAAAAGTTTTTGGATTCATAGAACTGGGATCTGAGAGACCTGCTTTCTCAAATCTACACATCTGCTCTAGTTTGACAAGGAGCAAAACTTGTGGTAAGTCAGGACCAAAGCTGATGCCTTTTGCCAGAATTCTGAGTTTTCTTGGAAATATACAACATTCTAAATACTTAGTACAACCTGTTCTCAAGTTATGCTTACCTTGCTAACAGAACATAGACCATAACATCATTACTATGCTCTAGAGTGAATGAGAATAGACAAGCAATGCACACAGCTCAGCTGGGCTAGATTTGTTAAATCTGCAGGCTGTGATGTACTTACAGATTGTGTGTTGTGAGACTAGATCATTAATTAGACTATACAGCTTCTAGCTTCTTGTACTTACACATGGATTTCTTTCATGTAACATAAAAGAAAAAAAAATAACTTATGTTAACTTTTAATGCTTATAGAGCACAACCCTGTGGGACTCAGAAAAGATAATTTTAAATAATAGATATCTGGTATAAAATCACTGTAACAGAAAACGAGACATCTGAAGCAATTACTATTCTGACAGAAGTGCCATGCAGTAATTTTATAACAAGTGGAAAAGAAAGTGTAGTAGAAAGTAGGAAAGAAAGCAAATATGGACTTAGAACACACACGCTTTTTACCCAGCCTCTAGCTTTACCAAAGATACTGTCACATTTTTCCCTTTCCCATGACCCCAGTCCTTTTTCCAAAAAAGAGGCACATTGGCTTGTGGCACTTTTCTCAAGCCTTCCTTGAGAAGAATAAGTAACACCAAGCAGAGAACCAACCAGACTTCCTTATTATTAGCCAGTACTGCTGCACCACTCTGAGCCATAACACAGACCAATTAACTCAAGATTGCATCAGATCTAGACAACACACTAAAATATGGCTTAGAGCTTCAGCCTTGTGTCCTGGTTTTGTTTGGGATAGAGTTATTTTTCTTCCTAGTAGCTGGTATGGTGCTGTGGTTTGGATTCGGGAATAATGCTGATAACAAAGGGATGTTTTAGTTGCTGTAGAGCAATGCTCACAGAGCCAAGGACTGTTCAGCTCCTGGTCCTGCCCTGCCAGCGAGGTACCTGGGGGTGCACAAGGAGCTGGGAGGAGACACAGCCAGGAGGTGGCCCAGACTGACCAAAAGGATGTCCCATACATGGCATTGTGCTCAGCAACAAAAGCTGGGTAATTTGGCTGGGGAGGGCTGCCATTGCTCAGGGACTGGCTGGGTGGGTGGTGAGCAGTTGCATTGTGCAACACTTGCTTTGTTTATTATTATTATTATTATTATTATTATTATTATTATTATTATGTACCATCCCCCTGTGTCCAGTTCTGGGGCCCTGTGTAAAAGAGGGACATGGACATACTGTAAAGGGCCACCATGCTGATGAAGGGACTGGAGCATCTCTCCTGTGACGAAAGGCTGAGAGCTGGGACTGCTCAGCCTGGAGAAGAGGGGGCTTCGGGAGATCTCGTCAATGTCTATAAATACCTGAAGGGAGGGTGGAAAGGAGATGGAGCCAGGCTCTTGTCAGTGGTGCCCAGTGCCAGAACAGGAGGCAATGGGCACAGCTGGGCACACAGGATGCTCCCTCTGAGCACCAGACAGCAACTCTGTGCTGTGCAGGTGATGGAGCCCTGGCACAGGCTGCCCAGAAAGCTTATGTATTCTTCTCTTTGGAGATCCTCAAAAGCATCCTGGACATGGGCAAGCTGGTGCAGGTGTCCCTTTTTGAGCAAATGACCTGCAGAGGTCTGTGATTCTATGACTTAGAAATTAGATTCTGTGATTCTGAGATAGCTAAAGTTGCACAGATGAAGGTGTACTGAATTGTCTTTAAAGGGCAACCACAGAAATAGAAGCTATACTGTATATTAACCTAATTCAGTGTTTATGAGGTGCTTGAAATATCAAGTACTATTAAATCCAAAATTATAGCAATAAGTTAACCTGTGACTGCTGTAGAGAGAGGAAAATGACAGACAAATCCTACAGCAAATCTGTCCTTAAAAAGAGTTGCTGTAGTCATGTGAGGTGTGTGGAAGTTTGGTATGGTTGACCAAACCATTTGAACGTTGTAGAGTGAGGGAAGAGGTCACAAAACAATAGTATGCATTTTTTTTTAGATCTCAAGAAATCTAATTTTAGTAAGTTGAGTAATAAAACATGAAATGTGGCAACACCGCTTTGAGACAAAGATTGGCAAAACAACTTGCAACATTCACTTCCCTCATGGGATCACATTGTCCTTTACAGGCTCAGGCCCGGTGCATGCTGTGGTTGCTGATCTTCCAGAGCAGAGATAGAGTCCCTGGAGAAGTCAGTGTAGTACCAGTCATCCTCTTCCTCAGCTCTTTAGCTTAACTTGGTATTATGATTTCAACAGCTACTCTTATCCAATGCTGAAGGCCTGTTGTGAGAATTATAGAAAATGCTTTAAATGACCAGGTGTGATTAATATTAGACCTAACTAAGCTACCACATTTTAACAAAGACCTAGCCAAGTTCTGTCTGGCCATGTTATTAAAAATTGGGATGATTTGTACTAGTATCTCATTCAAAATGCTTAGTTTTATTTTCTTAGAAACACATGTGAATTCTTCTTATTCTTCTACGTAGAGCTGGAAACAGGGTTTCCATTTCATCATCCTGCACAGAGTAACGCAAGGGAAGCTGAACAGCATGGAGGGCAGTGGTTGTTTTTCTGAGGTTTGGTTAATAAACTATTGCTTAATATATCTCTATTTGGAATAAATACATGGACATATCAGTTCTTAGTAGGCTTTGTGAATGATTAATACTAGAAGTAAGGCCTCACAGACAAAAGAATATATAATATATATTTTTAAAATAGTGTTTTTAAATAGTGGAGTTAGGAAACAAAACCAGCTATCAGTTTTTAACTAAGCATGTAATATGAAGTACAGGTGTTATGTATAAAAGCAATGAAAACTTATGGAATTTACAGGTGCACATTAAAGCAGACTGAGATATGCATTTAAGTTTGATCTTCAAGACATGAATAGAAAAGGATGCAGTTTATAAAGGAGTTTAAATGCTGTGTCTGTGGTTAAATATTGCACATTACCATGCAGAATGAGGAATTGCTTAACAGTTGATCACAAGCTTAAAAATGTTTTCATCTTTTGAAGAAGACAAACATCATCCAGGAAGTAATACAAATGAAATCATCATTCTGCTCCATAAGGTTCTGATAAGTCTCCGAGGAAAGTTTCACGTACAGTTTTGTGCACCATGCATCTAGAAAGGCAGAGACCAGCTGAAGAGAGCACAGAGGTGAGCCACAGGAATGTTATTTAAAACATATCCTACATGGAAATGTAAGGCAGTGGGATTGCTAAGTCTAGAGGAGAGGATTGAAGAAAGATGTGACACCACTCCACAGATACATGGGTTGTACTGGCAAAGGGGAAAGAAGGAGGGAAGTTTTCTTGCTCTCTGCTGTGAAAAGACTTAGCTTAGCAGTTAGGATAAGTGCTCTAATGCCAGGGTAGTTGAGTGGTGCAGCAGAGTACCTGGTGAGACTTTAAATCTCCATTCCTGGAAACATTTAAGAAGAACAGGTTAAAAAGACATTAGTCACTTACCTACTACTCTTCTTGGAGTTTTGGAACCACGTGCACATTGGGTTTTAGGAAGATGGAATGACAACCAGAATTCTGAGTCTCTGAGCTTTAGATTTGTGGTACAAAATGAAGTGAAACATTTTACAGGTACCAATTCATTTGAACAATTATACATTCCCTGCATCATTTTCTTGCAATGCTGTAGGTGCTAGTATACTGAAATATAAATATACTTACATGAATACACACGTGCTCAAAGCTACATGCATGCGAAGGAGTGCTCAGCACTGACAATGTCCTTTTGATGCCTCTGAACATCAACATCCAAACAGGACTTTTTCCTACTTACAGTTGCTTGCATGTTCTTCAGAGTCAGTAAACGGGTAAGTGAAATCTAGGAAAAAAAACTTAATCTAGCTTTACTTGCTTGCAGTTCCTATAAATAATGTGTAAAACAATTAAGTTTGTTGAAGTTAAGAAAATAATGGGTGTGCTGTACCATGGCCATGGTATAAAACCATGTACCATGGTTTTGGATCACTAAGTGTTGCATACTGTGAAAATAAACTTTTACATATCTTGAGAAAAAGATCATTTCCAAAAATAGTCAAATGTTATGAAATAGCTTTGTTTCTCAGTTTTCTGCTCTGGAGGAACTGGAAAATTTTAAAAACAAAGAATTTAAACTAATGTATAACCTGCTAGTAAATAAATGTTTTGTGTTGTTGCCTTTTTTTTTTTTAATTTAAATTTTTATTTTTACACAATCAGGGACATAAGTTTTGGGCCTTTTTCTTCATTCTTTTTATCCAGAGACAGATTTTGGAATATATTGTCTCATTTTCAAGGCTGTGTTCTCTAAAGAATACTTACACCTGCAAAGCATATATAAAAAACAAGGCATAATACTGAATTAATCTATATTTCTAACATGTGTTACAGAAAAGCAACACAATTCTTGAATGTGCTTTACTCATCATCTAAAGATGATCCCGTTTAATCTTAAAATAAAACTTGGAGACCATCAGAATATAAATTGTATATTCAGTCTTCTCTTCTTTTGCTTTAAAACATCTGTGCCTTCAGGGTTTAAATACTGAAATAAAATGTTTGAAAGAGATATTCACCAAGCAAATACACAATTAAGCAATGTGTCCAGGTCAAGGCAGCCTTGCTTAAAAGCTCATTGTCATTAATTATGCCATTGCAGGAGCTATAAGTAATATTGAAAAAATGTTAACCAAGTGCTATGGACTATGATCCACTTTACTCTCTCACTGGCTGCAAGGATGAATGAAGATCCCTCAAAAACTTCCAGCAGTAATAGGTCTGTGTGCAGTGTCATTTAATTGACCATCACAGTTCTGGATTTACCAACCTGTGTGACTCAACTACTGAAATGTTAAACCATTCTTGCCTCTCTTGCTCCTGCCATCATTCAAAAGATGGCTGTTTTGTATTTGGTACACACTTTAAATGTATTATTTATTTATTTTTTACTGAAGCCAAATACTTCCAATGAAAAAAGCCCTTACCTACATATTTAGGGAAAATGTGCACATATTTGAAAACGCTGCATTGCCCCTCACTTCTCTAAATCCTGAAATGGAACCAAAATGCTTGGATTTGTTCCAGAATACTGCAAAGTGACAAGTAATAAGAGCTGAAAATTTTCTATACTATGAACATGAGAGAGTCTGCATTTCTGGAGTGCCCTTGCCCAAGAGAACCGTCAAATTCATGAGCAGTCACATTCCAATGAACAGATCATGTCCTAACTATAGAAAAAAAGATCCATTAGGCTTAACATCAAATTTGAAAGTATATTTCAGGTTTCATAATAAACTTACTGTTTCTTATTTGACAGATGGTTAATTTGAGTCTTCTGTGATGTATTGCAATAAATCAATCATGTGGACCTCGGGATTTTTAGAGCAGAAGGTACAGTAATCAGCTATTTTGAATTTTCTCATAGTGTTAAAAAAAAAAAAAAAAAAGAAGTATTTGCTCAGGATTTACAAAGTTAATTACATATGTTTTGCCTTTTGTTTAAACCATCTTATTTACTTTTTTTTTTTTTTTTAATTCTGATTTGAAGTACTTACATTATGGAGAATCTTTGTGCACAACACAGTATGATATCCTACTGGTGGATCATCATTAACAACAACAACAACAAAAACCACCACCAACAACAATCAACATAAAGGAAAAAATCAGTTTTGAAATAAATATGTCTTTAACTACTGTCATTGAATTCTGTTACGGTTTTGTCTGTGGTTTCCTAGGGTACCAGCCCTGTAGTTATTTCCTTGGGAAAAGTCAAATTTGTCCTGAAATCAGGAGCACATCTGCAGAAGGGATTGAAAGGAGGGATATGCTGCAATAGTGAGCACTTCAAAAGAAATGTGTATTTTTGGTCAGATGCAGTAGCAGTGTGGATGGGAAGCTGAGAGGGGTAAATGACAGAGAGAATATGTGCCATAACTTTTAACCTCCCAAGCAGATAAATCTGTTCCTGACCAGAGCTAGGAAACAGAAGGAAACAGAAAAAATCATTCCTAAAATGATTCTTGTAAACTGATTGATCTTCAACCCTTTGGCATGTGTCAAAGTACAAAACTCTTGGTGAAAAAAAAAAAAAGTAACAGTTTTGACTAATGGTTGATGTGAATATTCTTGCTGAATTGCACAGTTAGCTGCTGCATGCAAGAGGTTTTGTATTTTCACACTTCCTTGTTTGCCACATCATTGTCCTGGTCGGGATCCAAATCTCATGGAGATTAGCAGAAAGATTTCACTGGTAAGAGGCAGATGATTGAGAAAAGGGACACTTCCCATTGTCCAAAATTCCTCTTCATCTCTGTATCACCTCCTGTTTCTCTTTCACTTCCTTATAAATAACTTAGCTTAACACAAGGCTCATGAAATGGGAAAAATTTCCCATGTTGTAGTAAAATGCACAGTGCACTTTAGATGGCAGTTCTTGGAATCAGCTCCACCAATAACTACTGTAATTTGAACCCAGAGGATAATAACTGTTGAATTTTGTTAAATCGACTTTCTTTCAAGTCTATGGTACACGTTAAGTCAACAGCTTCTATGTTCTCATCTATGATATGAGCAGTACAAAGAGCTGCAGGGAATTAAAAGAATATAGGCTGATTAAACCCTCTTTTTTTTTTTTTTTTTTTTTTTTTTTTTTTTTTTTCCCTCCTCTTAAAAATGGGAGTTTCTAGGGGTTCATTTCTAAGTGCACTTATAAATAGATTCTTCTAGGATGTCTGTTTCCTGTTCAATAGAGCAAGAAATGGATCATGATTTAGTTTGCTCCTGCAATTTCTCTCTTTCATTCTCACTTGCGCCATTATGTCCAATCATATTTGCAAAGGGTATTTGGGTATTATTTATTTTATTTTATTTTTTTTTCCTTTAATGCACATTTTCATTGGCTTGTTCTATTCAAACCAACACAATTGTTACAAGAGAAGGGAACTTATAGGAAGAACCAGAATAATTTAACTGTTTTGGTCATCAGACTTTCAGGACTTCTGAACATTTTCTTATCTCATTCATCAGGTTCTTTGCACAGTCACTTCCAAGGGGCAGATTGTCCTGTTTCACAATGACAGACACATAGGTGGGATGAAGGATCCTCTCCATCTTGTTCTCTCTCTATTGGCCATTGATGAAGTCTAGGCTAGACACCAAACTTTTACATGCCTAGACCTGAGTGAGATGACTGACTGACATTCAGTAAGAATTTCTCCCATGAAAAGGTTTTCTTTCATATAGCACGTACTACAAGCAGTTTTTGCATGTTCCAAGAATTAGGTAACTAATTTAAATGCCCTCCCATTAAACTACTTGGAAATCTGGGACAAGGTGCAGAAGAACCCCCTACAGTTCAGGTTCAAACAGTTTGAGATTTGCTGGTCCACCTGGACTGTCACAAGTCCATGGGGCCATATGGGATCCATAAGAGTGTGCTGAGAGAGCTGGCCGATGTGTTTGCTGGGACACTTTACTTCATCTATCAGCAGTCTTGGTCATCCAGAGAGGTCCTGGATGACTGGAGACTTGCTAACATGACACTCATCTATAGGAAGGATCATAAGGAGGACCTGTCAGCCTGACCTTGGTGCCAGGAAAGGTGAAGGAATAGGTCATCTTGAATGGAATCAAGCAATGTATATGAGACACTGGGGGGTTAGGCCCAGCCAGCATGGGATCATGAAAGGCAAGTCCTGCCTGACCAACCTCATCTCCTTCTGTGACCGGGTGACCCGCCTGATGGATGAGGGAAAGTTGATGTAGTCCACCTAGACTTCAGCAAGGCCTTTGACACAGTCTCCCACAGCATTCTCCTGGAGAAACTGGCAGCCCATGGCTTGGACAGGTACACACTTTGCTGGGTTAAAAACAGGCTGGCTGACCGTATGCAGAGTAGCGGTGAATGGATTGAAACCCAGCTGGCAACTGGTCACCAGTGGTGTTCCCCGGGGCTGGTGTAGTGGCCCATCCTCTGTAATATCTTTATTGATGACTTGGATGAGGGAATTGAGTGTACCCTCAGTAAATTTACAGATGACACCAAGCTGGGGGGAAGTGTCGATCTGCTGGAGGGTAGGAAGGTCCTGCAGAGGGACCTGGACAAGATGGGTCAATGGACAGAGGCAGAAAAGGATCTGGGAGTGCTGATTGATGCTTGCCTGAACATGGGCTGGTAGTGTGCTCAGGTGGCCAAGAAGGCCAACAACATCCTGACTTATATAAGAAACAGTGTGGTCAGCAGGACTAGGGGAGTGATTGTCTCCCTGTACTCAGCTCTGGTGAGGCTGCACCTTGAGTACTGTGCTCAGCTTTGTGCTCCTCACTACAAGAAGGACATCGACGTGCTCGAGCATGTCTAGAGAAGGGCTATGAAGCTGGTGAATGGCCTGGAACACAAGTTCTGTTAGGAGCAGCTGAGGGAACTGGTGGTGTTTAGTCTGGAGAAGAGGAGGCTCAGTGAAGATGTCATTGCTCTCTGCAGCTGCCTGAAAGGAAGGTGTGGGGAGCTGGAGACTGGCCTCTTCTCACAGGTAACTAGTGATAGGACTAGAGGGAATGGCTTCAAGTTGCACCAGGGGAGTTTTAGGTTGGAAATTAGGAGAAATTTCTTCTCAGAAAGAGCAGTCAGGCGTTGGAACAGGTTGCCCAGGGAAGTGAAGTGGTTGTGCCACCATCCCTGGGAATGTTTAAGGAAAGGTTGGTCGTGGTGTTTAGGGACATGATTTAGTGGGTGACATTGGTGGTAGGGTGATGGTTGGACCAGATGATCTTGAAGGTCTCTTCCAAACTTTATGATTCTATGATTCTGTGATACTTTGTATAAAGTACCTACCTTCTGCTCGAGGGTAGGAAGGCTCTGCAGGAGGATCTGGATAGGCTGTGCCGATGGGCTGAGGTCAACTGCATGAAGTTCAACAAGGCCAAGTGACTGCATGAAGTTCAACAAGGCCAAGTACCGGGTCCTCCACCTGGGGCGCAATAACCCCAAGCAGAGCTACAGGCTGGGAGATGAGTGGTTGGAGAGCTGCCAGGCAGAGAAGGACCTGGGAGTGATGGTGGACAGTCGGCTGAATATGAGCCAGCAGTGTGCTCAGGTGGCCAAGAAGGCCAACGGCATCCTGGCTTGTATCAGAAACAGCGTGACCAGCAGGGCTAGGGAGGTGATCGTCCCCCTGTACTCGGCTCTGGTGAGGCCGCACCTCGAGTACTGTGTTCAGTTTTGGGCCCCTTGCTACAGGAAGGACATCGAGGTGCTTGAGCGGGTCCAGAGAAGGGCGACGAAGCTGGTGAGGGGCCTGGAGAACAAGTCCTACGAGGAGTGGCTGAGGGAGCTGGGCTTGTTCAGCCTGGAGAAGAGGAGGCTCAGGGGCGACCTTATCGCTCTCTACAGATACCTTAAAGGAGGCTGTAGCGAGGTGGGGGTTGGCCTGTTCTCCCACGTACCTGGTGACTGGACGAGGGGGAATGGGCTTAAGTTGCGCCAGGGGAGTTTTAGGCTGGATGTTAGGAAGAACTTCTTTACTGAAAGGGTTGTTAGGCACTGGAACAGGCTGCCCAGAGAGGTGGTGGAGTCACCATCCCTGGAAGTCTTTAAAAGACGTTTAGATGTAGAGTTTAGGGATATGGTTTAGTGGGGACTGTTAGCATTAGGTTAGAGGTTGGACTCGATGATCTTGAGGTCTCTTCCAACCTAGAAATTCTGTGATAATGGTTCCTTTCTATCATGGTAGAATTGCACTTTTGATGTTGTAATACTGTATGAAGTCCAAACCATTCTCTCTCCTCTATTGTGGGTGAAAGCTGACCTGTGTATCTGAAGGACCTGAGGGCAGAGCATCCACTGGCTCTTTTGCAGACCTCCCTGCTCTGCAGGACTGTCGTGGTTTAACCCGGCCGGCAGCTAAACACCACGCAGCCATTCGCTCACCTTCCCCCCTCCCTCTCTGGGACGGGGGAGAGAAATGGAAAGTGAAGCCCGTGAGTTGAGATAAAGACAGTTTAATAAGACAGGAAAATAATAATAACAAAAATAATAATAACAATAATACTAATACTACTAATAATACAATGGTGATAATAGGAAAGTAATAATAATATGTACAAACAAGTGATGCACAATGCAATTGCTCACCACTCTCTGACCAATGCCCAGCCTAACCCCGAGCAGTCCGGCCCCCTCTCCCCGGCTAGCCACCCCTATATATTGTTTAGCATGACGTCAGATGGTATGGAATACCCCTTTGGCTAGTTTGGGTCACCTGTCCTGGGTCTGTCCCCTCCCAGCTCTTACTGCACCCCCAGCCTGCCCGTTGGCAGGACAGAGCAAAAGGCTGAGATGTCCTTGGCTTAGTATAAGCACTGCTCTGCAACAATTAAAGCATCGGGGTGTTATCAGCACTCTTCTCATCCTAAGCCAAAACACAGCATTCCATCAGCTACTAGGAAGAAAATTAATTCTAACTGAAACCAGGACAAGGACACAGCAGGAAAGATGGCAGCAACCAGAGGGAGAAGAGAGCCAAGATTTGGGTTTTCACACTGGAGACAGTGTTTCAGGAGTGGGAACTGCTTGACTCAAAGGCATACTTATGTACTGTGCGTTAGACTCACAATACAAAATTCACATGGAATACTAGGTATATTTGAGTACCCGAGGAAACTGTAGCATACACTAAACACATTTGCACAGAGTTTTTTT